TTTTTGAGATGGAGTCTTGCTCGGTAGCCCAGGCTGGAGTGCAGTGGCGCGATCTCAGTTCACTGCAACCTCCACCTCCTGGTCCTGGTTCAAGCAATTCTCCTACCTTAGCCTCCCAAGTAGCTGGGATTACAGGTGTGAGCCACCAGGGCTGCTAATTTTTGTATTCTTAGTAGAGACGGGGTTTCACCATGTTGGCCAGGCAGGTCTTGAACTCCTGACTTCATGATTCGCCTGCCTCAGCCTCCCAAAGTGCTGGGATCACAGGCTTGAGCCACCGCGCTTGGCCTCTATGTGGGATTTTTATAGATAAAAAGTCTTTTCAGTTACCCTTCCAAACTGATGTTAACCAACCAATTGACGACCCTAGCATCTTAGGGAGTGGTTTCTCTAGAAGTACCACCATCAAATTGAGGGCTGTAGTACTGGTAAGGGCACACTGGGATGGGAGAAAAACATAAGGCACAGATGGCAAGAAAACTTGACCAAGGAAGCTAAGGTCAAAGGTATTAGAATAACAACAACAACAACAACAAAAAAACCTTACCAATCCCTTCTTCAATTTTGTGTATCGTGTGCGTTTCTACTGCTACAACTGCTGTGTTGTTCTCCGACCCGGCTTCATATATCCTGTTGTAAAAGTGTCCATCGATAAACAAACTACATAAATCATGAAAAAATTAATATTCACAGCATGGGATTAAGAAATTTGTTTTAATCTATCTCAAAAGAAATAAAATAGATACACTTTATAACTCTGACTTGTTTCCCACTGTATTTAAACTCCAAACTTCCCAGGATTGCTTAGCAGCTTCTACCATGGAAATCAATCAACAACTCTCCTAACCTCAAAAGAAAGTAATTCTTACTACTTATTTATTTACACCATCACTTACTACTGTATTACACCAGAGTTTTCCCTTCATAAATTTATTTTTTAAATGTCAGTAGTGGAACGATCCATGCTTTTTACTTGCAAAGGGTGAACAGAAAGCTACCACATTTCTCTAGGACATTTACAAAGAGCTACTTTCACTTTGAGAAGAAACAATAAAAATAAATGTCCACTCCTTTCACAAATTTAAATGGGCCAGGCATGGTGGCTCATGCCTGTAATCCCAGCACTTTGGGAGGTCACAGTGGGCAGATCACCTAAGGTCAGGAGTTAAACACTAGCTCGGCCAACATGGCAAAACCCCGTTTCTACTAAAAATGCAAAAAATTAGCTGGGTGTGGTGGCAGGTGCCTATAATCTCAGCTACTTGGGAGGCTGAGGCAGGAGAATCAACTGAACCCGTGAGGCAGAGGTTGCTGTGAGCTGAGATTATGCCACTGAACTCCAGCCTTG